TAATGTTGCTTTTTAAAGACAAAACTTGACATACTAGAAATAATTCTAAATACTGTTTTCTAGGGCTATCCTGGTTCCGCAGCAGGTATATATACACCCCTAAAATTGGATTTAGGAGGACTATTAGTTGGAACTTTGGTCAGTATTGGAGCAATTTTCATCTTGCCTAAAATCGTCAATATCGTTAGCGGCGGTTATGGATACGCTAGAAGTAAGTTAAAATTTAATAATCAACAAAAATAGTATTTTAACCAAGAAAGCAAATTTGAAACTTATTTAATATTCATTGATAGCGGACGATCTATTTGCCTAAGTAACTCAAAATTTATTAATATATTATAATAAAAAAAAATTCTTCATAAACTAGATTACATTATTCATTCAGACCAAGCTTCTGTCAACCAGTCGGTTAATTTATTTCCAGTGTGTTATTAAACTTATCAATAATGATTTATGGTTATTGTTTTATTCTAAAGGTGTAGAAGGTGAAGATGGTACTGGAGTGACTCAGATGTTGGCAAGATTAGATGATACTTTAAGCAAATTCAATATAGATTCTTCATCGTGTATGCAAAGGGCGGTTTGTTCGTACGTGAAAACTTCTGAAGGAAAAATATCTGAAGGAGCTGCTGACCAATTTGACCAACTGGTTCATGCTTTATCAGGGTAATATTCATATTAAATTTGTTAATATACTTCAAACATCATTGTCATAAAAACCTATATGTAAACTTCATTTACCTAATAACATGCGCAAAACTTAATAAAATATCTAACTAATCTAATAATCTTAATTGCGATTGCTGTAACTTGCTCTACGGGAAGTTAAAAAACAAATAAAAAATTCGTAATATCAACAACATAGTTCAAAAAATATTAATTATAATTATTTTTTTTCTTAAGAAATAGCATAGTTGAATACGCCCTGGAAGGAACAGCCATCAAAGAGGCAATAATCGCAGGACGTAAGCAGCTTAAAGAAAAAACTTGCGAAGAATTATATCCTGGTTGCAAATTAGACAAACAGAAAGGAATACAAATGATTTCAAAATTACTGCAAGCATAGAAAATTATTTAAAATAAATTAACACTTCTAGCCATGATTTAATGCTTTGGGAAAAATGTAACAAAAACCTTAAAAGATCTGCTCAATGAGTAGTTTGTGTATAAATAACATATGTATATTTATTGTAATAATATGGAAATATATTGCATAGTTAATTTTTATAAATGAATGTGCTGATAATGTTTTTAATTTATTAGATTTTGTTTTAACAGTTTTGTCATCACAGGCAGAACGTTTTCTAAATCATTCAAACCGAATGCTTAGAGTTCTCCCAAAAACAGGCATTTAGCTCCATATCTCCGAAACGGCTGTACCTGCCTTTGCGAAAAACTAATCAGCACATCTCCCTATCAATATAGGAATCGAATGTTCTTTTGAATCATTCCAACAGGTTGATTCGTGCGCCCAAAAACGTATTCATACATACATACGTATGTATATATACACACACACACATTAATTTTTTCTAAGCTATGCCAAAATGTTCAGAAACCTTCAAAACATGAAGAATGCAAAAATTTTCAACTTCGGTTTTGGAAAGTTTACAATCAAACCCTACAGAAAGTGAATAACCATAGACTTTTAATTAGGAAAAATACGCAAGTTTCCAAAGCAAATGCTTCATTTTTTTATATTTGTTAATTGTTTTATAAAGAAACACATACAACAATTAATTTATTACAATATTGTATGCTAGATAGATAATTTTATCTTATATAAAACAATTAAGAAATAATGCAGGGGTTGCAAAAAGATATCTTGAATTCTCTTCGCTTTAAGTTCAAACAGATTATTTAAAAATTTAATAGTTTTTTTGATGAGATCACTTTGCACAATTAAAAAAGGTCTAAATAAAAATATAACGAAAAAGTGTGAGTGTCATAGGTTATTGAAATACATGGTTGTGGAGAACTTATACCAGAAAACAACAAAAATTTGCATACAAACCACATCACCAAAATTTTATCATACAAATAAGGTATAAATTAATTTTAAACCAGAAAAATTTAAACAAATCGCTTTTTCGGCTTATAAAAAATAATTCTTAAATTAATTCTTTCTAAACAATTATTTAATGAATGATATTATATTTCAATTTTAATTTCAAACTACTAACAAATTCAAATAAAATTCATATCACCTTAAATCTTTTGATATCGGCATTTTCCACAATTGAAATAAAAGGTCTCAAATAATTAACATAAAAATAAATTATAACAAAAAAAAAGAATGTATAAAACAATGTCGAGCATTTCATGGGTCATTTATAAGACATATATATGAAAGATGTGAAGAACATGTTTCAAAAAACAATGAAATTTTAAAATTTTACATACAAATCACATCTCTAAAATCAGATCTTCAAGGCTAAAATTTGTAGCTAATGATGCTCCAGAATATTTTAAATAAATCACTACTTTGAATTTCAAAAAGCAAAACTTAAACTAACAATAATCTTTTAATGAAGGTTAAATACATAAATTAATATTTAAATATAATTGTTAAATAGTAAATAATATTTACTTTTTTACTTATTTATTCTCATAATTTAGGACTTGTTGCTTCAGACTAATTATTTTTATAATTTTTATATAATTTTTGAATCCAAACAATAACATTTGTTACAATTGATTTTACACACTAGTTACATTCACTTCATTAAAATGTCATTTTTAAAACAATTTAATATAATTGAAGTGAACATTGAATAATATATTATTGAAGTGAACACTGAATAATAATATATTATGAACACAGGGTATTCTAATATTATCTAGGAATATATTATTCAATGTTCACTTCAAATTGTCAGGCATTGTAAAAAAACAATTCAAGAAAATGTCATTTTTATAAAGTGAATCTAACTAGTATGTAAAACCAATTGTAACAAATGTTAATGTTTGGATTCAAAAATTATACAAAAATTATAAAAATAATTACAAACCGAAGCAGCAAGTCCTAAATTATGAAAATAAATAAGTAAAAAAGTAAATAGTATTTACTATTTATCAATTATATTTTAATTATATTGCATTTATATGTAACATTTTATAAAGTTTACCACAAAATAGCCATGATGAACATCTCATCTGTTGATTTGTAATCATAGATCTTATAATACATATATCTATTATAAGGTCTGTGTTTGTAATACATCTTGTAATTTACATATATAAAATATGTATTTACCCATTACATTTGCTGTTTGGAAAAATCATCATCCTTGTCCCTCAAAGATGCTGAATAATATAAATTTTCCGTGAATTGTCATCAATATTGTTGGCACTATAATTTTAAACACATGAAATCTATTCATTTTTTCACAACTTAGGCAAAAGTTATTGCGTCACTCGTTATCAAATGTTTGATTTTTCACCATTCAAAATAATTCAAATGTTTGTTGAGGTTATGATCCGCATTTTGACGTTTTACTAGTAAAAAAGATGCTATAATGGCTATAACTACGAATCGTTCAGAGCAATAACTGTGAAGTTGCACCAATAATTGGGCAATGCGCCATTTAATAACTATTTTGCATAAAAGTGCGCCATTTACGAATTTGAAATGGTCAAAGAAACAAATAAAATTAGATGCAAGTGCTGTTGGACTTATAGAAAGATGCATAAAAATTTCGATATGTGTGAATAATTGACTTTCAATAAAAATTGGAATTTAGCAACATTTAAAATTATTTCCATTATTTCAAACTATAATAATTTCTTACAATCAAACACTTTTCGTAAGTCTACAATATTTAATGATGTTCGTTAGAACCCTTCAATCTTCATATATATTTTCATTAAACTTATTAAATTGTTTTCTTAATATAATTACGAAGAAACGGCCTGGTAGATCTCAACAAAAAACTAATCAGCAAAATTTCTGACTGTTATCTCTCGACCAGATTTTAATTTTTAAAATTGGTTCAGGATTTTTTGTAAAAACATAAAATATTTGCACCTCTCTGATAATTTTAAAAAATAGCTCACAAAATCAATCTACCCGTTTCCTTATCGATGTATATCATATGGCTTCTACATTTTTAAAATTAGTGGAGTCATTTTTGAGAAAACTCGAGGAATAGCTAAATTTTGGCTAACATATACACGAACTTTTTCAAATTTAGTATCAAACAACTGAGAATGACTTGAAACTTTGCAAAACCATAGAATGTAAATTGGATTTTCTAATGAAAAGTAGCAAGTGTCTTGATATGTACATAAATATTACATTCATTTTCAATAACATTATCGCATTAAAGTATAAATATATATAAGTAGATTTTGATGCAGAAATTCTTACATAAATGCAAGTTATTTCTTCAAAAAGTATGTTAAGGTGGCTTGAGCAACTTGAATTGAATAACTTGAGCAAGTTTCTAAGGATTTTTGGCCCCCCTCCCCCTTGGTGATACATAGTTATATTCAAAAATAACCCCCTCCCCCCACCAAACATCACGTGTATTTTTAGTTACGTTAAAAAACTAAAAAAAAAAATTGAATATGTTTGAATTTTTTTAAAAACTTTAGTTAAAAAATAAATACACCTGATATCTTACTATATCCCTCCCTCCCCTACGTGATATTTCGTGATCTTTTTGTTAAGACCCCCCTCGCCCCTAAAAATCTCACGTAATTTATACCCGCCCCTGAATCAATTCTTCACCTAAAACGATTATTAACTTTAATCTCAATAAACGTATTTTTGCAAATTAATAAGATATGATACAAATAATGAACTATACCACTTAAAGATTTACTGCGTCCCTAATAATCATTATTGATATTATGCTATGAAAAATACGTTCATGGTAAGTTTATTTAGCAATAAACGGTAACATAAGCACAGGTTTTTCACATTTTTATAAAAGTAGTACGTGGTGGTATTATTATGAAAGCTAAATATTAAATTTTTTAAAGATATAATGCGTAGATTAATCAGAATCTGATGAACTGCTCGAAGATGAGCTGTCAGAACTCCATTCAGAACTACTATCACTACTTTCAGAACTAGAATCGCTTGTGAATGAACTATCATCACTTTTAGAAATCGATGATCTACTAGATTTTGAGAAAGCTTCGCTCTTATCGTCCTGCCACCAATAACGCTTTTTCTTTTGCTCAGCAGCGTCTTTCTGAGCCTTCTGCGCTTTCTCTCTTTCCTTTTTTTCTTGGTATTCTTTCATTTCTTTCCAATATTTTTCACGTTGCCGTCTTTGTTCTTCTTCTTCTTCCCTCTCCTGTCGTTTTCTTAAAGCTTCTTCGAAACGTCTGATTTCTTCCCGCTTTCTTTCTTCTTTGGTCTTAGAATCTTCATGTTTCTTTTGTTTATCTTGTTCTATGGAATCTTGTATAAAAAATCTAAAGCATAGTCAAATATTTTTAATGTCATTGTAATATAAATATTAATATTATTATTGGAATTAATAATAAAAATTATTTATTATGTCAAGGCAATGGTTTGAACAAAAATTTGTTCATTTTACGTACTTGAAATAATTTGGAAATGTCATAATCAAATAACGTAGAAATTCTGAAATTAGGTTCATATTTTTTTTTTTTATAAATTTTAATTTTATATTTTTTATTTATTTATGTCACGCATGATATTTTAAACTCAAAACTGACGTAATGAGAAGATATATTTTAAAACATATGAACGTTCTGAACCGATTTGTACAACAGTTAGTTAAAAACGCTAAAATTAAATATTTAAAAAATTATGTGCTAGTAAAGAAGTTACAATTGTGTAATAGCGTAGATTGAAAAATGCACCAATAATTAAAAATAAAACTTTATTAATAAAAACTTAGTTTTAACATTTATATTTGACGTTATCAAAATATCTGGTTAATTACATAGCAATCAAACAAATAGTTAACATTTAAATAAGTACACATTTAGCTCGATATGACGCCATATCAGCAAATATTAATTATTAAATAATATGATTGCAAATCAGATACACCAGATAACGCAAAGTTCCACAACCGATAACAAAGTTTAGAATAAATAAATTCAACAATAAATAACTTAATCTTAATGAATACTGGAAGTGATTGATTTTTTTATTCATCCTCTTCCTCACAACTTTCTTCCACTGTTGATTCTACTGGAGGTTCGGGCGACGTCGCGGTTTCAGGCTCGGCTACTGTTTGCTCTTCAGCTGGTTCTGGTGCACTTTCAACTGGTTTCTCTACTTCAGGCTCTTCGACATGTTCTTCGCTTTCAGCTGGAACTGACTCAGCAACTTCTTCCTGAGTAGTTTCTGGAGCATCGTTATGTGATTCTTCAACGGGTTCCTCAGCCGGTTGTTCTACTTCGCTTTCGTGTTGTTCTGATTCTTTTTTAGCTTGTTCTTCTTCTGCTTCTTTCTTAGCTTGGTCTGCTAGTTCTTGTTCAAGACGAGCAATTTCAGCTAATTCAGCTGCTTGACGTGCAAGTTCGGCTTCTTTTTCCTCTTCAGCTTGACGAGCGATTTCATCTAACCGTGCCATTTCTTCTTCGCGGATACGCTTTTCTTCTTCTTCCCTAGCCTTTTGTTCGGCTTCCTCCTTAGCTTTTTGCTCAGCTTCTTCTTTTGCTTTTCTTTCAGCTTCTTCTTTGGCCTTTTGTTCAGCTTCTTGCCTTGCCTTTTCTTCTGCTTCTTGCTTGGCCTTTTCTTCTGCCTCCTTCTTAGCCTTTTCTTCGGCCTCTTTCTTGGCCTTTTCTTCCGCTTCCTTCAAAGCTTTTTCTTCGGCTTCTTTTTTAGCTTTTTCTTCAGCTTCTTTCTTAGCCTGCTCTTCGGCTTGTTTGGCTGCTTCTTTCTCAGCCTTTTTACGTTCAGCTTCGGCCGCCTTTGCTAATTCTTCTTTCTTCGCTGCTTCTGCAGCCTTTGCTTCGGCATCGCGTTTCGCTTGTTCTTTGCGACGAGCTTCTTCCCTAAAATATTATTCAAACAATAATATTATTATAAAAATAATAATAATAATAAATTTAATAATAATTATACTTTTAAAAAAAAAATGTTAACTATTTATCATCAGGACCTTAATTTTTAGTAGAAAATGTTAAGCAAAATATTAAATACGTAAACCTTAAATTTATTTGATGAATACTCTGAAATATTATCATTTATTTTTATGAATTAGTGTACATGAGGACAAAAAATCGAGATTATCTCACTTTTCGTCAGCAAGACGAGCTTCAGCTTGTCGTTTCTTCTTCTCCTTATCCAGATCGTCGTCGTCGAGGAAACTTGGTTTGGCATTTGCGGCATTGAATCGCTCTAAACGAGCAGATTTGAATTCCTTCAACTCGGCCTTGGGGTCTTCCAACATTTTAGGCTGGGCAAATCTCCTTGATGGACGGAATGGGCACAAAATTTTTGCTACAAGATAAATATTTCTATATGCGTTAAATAAAAGGATCTATCGGAGCTTAATGTAATGAACATCACATCTTGGACTTTAATGAAATTTTTGAGCAACATCTATATTTACAAATCTTAATGCATGATTTTGTTTCATAAAAATTAATATTCGTATTCGAACATGATGTGAAATTATAATATTAATATATACATTACATGAGTAAGCCAAGATTTTCTTGGTTTATGATTTTAAGAATTATTAATTTAATTTAAGAGTATGTACTAAATAAAATGTTATATACATTAAGCAAATAATCTAGAACATATATTTACATTTAGTTGTTATTTACTGTTATTCACATATATGATAATATATTTTGAGAAAAGTCTATTATTCTCAAAATTATGTTAGTTATGTCATCAGACATCCAAAACGTAAAATAAGATACTTCGTGTTTAAAATTTAACTTCTGAAAATTTTCTCAGACTTTTACTTACAGGAGTATTAACAGGCATCCTGAAGAAAGCATGGATGGTCACACAATATTTTTATATAAATGTTTTAAAAATATAACAAAAATGTATTAAAAAAAATCGTTTCATTACCGAAAAATAGAAAAAATATTTTTTATGCAATATGGGTAGAACTTCATTCACCAAAAATCACTAAACATGCTGGATTCAATAAAATATCATTCAGAACAAAAATCACTTTGTTTATTATTCAAATGTTAATGGATAATACCAATTAAGATTAAAATTAAAAAGATTGTAGCTTTTATTCGTTATATTTTATTTATCAAAGTTTGTACCATAAATTATCATTCCAATAAAACTTATCAAAAATTGTTGTGAACTTATCAAAAATTTCTAAATTATTCAATATGAGAGTCACAAAAATTTCCCAATACAGAATTCAAGCGTAATCATTATTAAAGCCTAAATGTTCACAATGCAATTTCAAATGAAACAAACACCATGGTATTTTATTCATAAAATCTATCTTATTAATTATAAAAATAAATAAGTAATTGTTCGAAAAGGTCGTTCGCAAATACAAGACTTGTAGGCTCGTAGTTTATGTACATAATATATAAGTTCGTTTTATATTAATTGAAATATATAAAATATTCGAATTTAAAATTAATGAATAATTAAAATGTTCGTTTAAATTTTTTAAGCGTAATGGATTTAGTGGATTTGTTTGATTTTGATGCTCTACTCTGTAGTCGCGGCTGGTTCGGTCTTTTCGGTCTTTTCGATCTTATTGGTCTTATCTGTATTATCGGTCTTATCCACCACTGAAACCAAGAATATAGAAAAATAAAAGATAGGACAAAAATTATTCAAGAATGAAAAAGCGTTGATGAATGTTTAATTTGAAAAAAAAAATTTTTATGTGTAGTTTTGTGTCGTAATGAAGCCTTAATCGTTTATGTGAAAAATAGTTTAATTTTTATATATTTACAAGTTCAGTTATTTAATTTAGTATTTGATTATCCAAAACGTTTTGCTAAACGAATTTTGTTACTAGTTGGAATGTTGATTGTGTTAAATAGTGGGATGCCGGATGTAAGAGAATATATTTTAGGAATTAGTATTCCGTTACAAATTATTGTTTTAACACGGTCGAAGCATGTTTATAATGAAGTACTTGAAATAGCGTTTATCCTGGATTCTACTTCAGTAAGTTCCTGTTGTTCCATTCATATTGGTGGCCCTATTCATAAAATACTCTATATAAATGAAATTTCAAGTAAAAGTCTCGGACTTTTAAGTAAACGACTAATAAAACGAAAGTAAAACTAGTTAAAATCCTTACATGTTTTAAGTTTAGATATTATTTTACATTCATATAATACGGTTGAGCGGGGCTTGAAGGTTTGCTCCTAAAAAAGTCCACCACCCATATCTCAAAAACAAGTAAAGTTAGAAATTTTTTAACAACAATATTTGAAAGTAGAGAAAAAAAGATATGTAATAAGTTATAGCATTAGCAACGTCACTATCAGGAGATAAACTATAACAAAAGTATTTTCTTTCGTTGTTAGTTTCTTTTTATTTGGAACACTGTTCTTTAGTTTACGTGAGCTTAATATAATTGAAGTATACGATATTTAATTGTTTTATAAGTTATATTGTTAATTTTCAATTAGATGTTTTTATATAACCTTTATAATAGCCTACATGTGGGTCGGGTAAAAAGAGGCAACCGAACGTTTGCCCTGACAAAAGTGTGAACAATAAAAAATTAGTAAATAAAAATGTAAAATGAATTAATAAAAGCTTCTTTACAAAAAATTAATTAATAATAGATATTGCAATACTGCTTTTGAATATTTCTGACAAAATACTAGATCAAGGTGAACTGATAGCAAATCATAGAAAAAAAGTGTGAAAAAAGTAACACATTTCTGTTACTGGAAATTATCTGGAGTTTTACTGAGCATAGTATGATAGTTGTTTCTTTGAAACGTGTTATATGATGTAAATAATGTGGTGTATAGAGTATAATTACTTAATGTCAAATTGGACCTTTTTGCCCCGCCCTACCCTATGTATATGCCATAAAGTGTATCCTATAATTTCATCAATCTCAGAACTTAAAGTTTCTTGCAGAATTGTCATCAACACCTAGTAAGATTGTTTTTAGCTTAAACAGAAATCTTAAGCTCGTAAAAAATTGAACCAAACCACCTACTAATCAATTATTTTCTAAACATCCTAAAATATAAAATCAGTCAGAAACATATTCGTGAAAAAATTAAATTCGATTACAAATATTTGTTTGAGTTGTAAGTTTTATGAATAGGGCCGTTAATTGACTTGGTATTTTACTTCGGAGATTTATCTTTGAAAGCAAATATGATTATTTTGTGGTTGGTGGGTAACAAATCCAAAAACGTTTGTACACTAATAGCAATAATTAATTACAAAGAGTATTGCATATACATAGCATAGCAGAAAGTTGGCATTCAGTGATAAAAGCTAAATAACAAATTTATAATGTTACTGAAGAAAATATTTACAATGTTAAATTGACGTTATTAACATTTTAATTCAAGAAAGAAAAATATATATATTTGTTAGATTCATTTTGAGACGTCACACCAGGAGATCAGATTTTCCAAAAATATTTAAGGTAATTAGTGACGCGCTACGATGATCACTTTATTTAGAAGTAAAGCCAACTTTATAAAACGTTAGTCTTATAAAAATGAATATACACAGGGTAAATAATTATCCATTAAAAATTCTAATATATATTTGAATTCATAATAAAAAGCTCCGTTTCTTTGTAATAAATTATTGGTCGTTTAAATAATAGTAAAGGGTAAGTGTAACTTCTATAATAAAAATCAAAACTTGTCTAAAGATGCATGCAGGTGATATATACAAAGCACACATGTAAGTGAATAAGATTAATAATTTTGTACATATTTACAATTGTTATTTTAGCTTTTGAACATATTAAATGTAAGCTTACATAGCTTTGGAGCTTAAAATTACAACCCTCATAATAAAAGTAATAAAAGAGATAATGTATATTTTGATATCAAAGTTAAAAATAGTATTATTTTCGAATATATATATATATATATATATATATATATATATATATATATAGATATAACAATAAAAACTTTTAAATTAACTGACTTGAATCATTTTTACTTAAAGTTCAAATATAAAATTTCAAAGAAGATTAATTTCAAAGAAAATATTAATTAATCTATAAATAATAAAATATTAATTATTAATAAATAATAATTATCTTTTTAAAATTTTCATCCGTTGTTCGCAATGATCCGCACAAATACCCATGAGGAACAATTAGTTTTTAACTGACTTACCCGATTCGAGTTCAAGGGCTTTGAGTTGAAGTGGCCTTTTTTGGATGTAATAAGATAATAAATTTACATCATTACGGATTTTTCCACTTTCTGGGTAGTAAGATTTCCTCTTGTTGTAGGCCTTGTCGCCTGCGTATCTTACACATGCCAAATGACCAGGTCCTGGGATAGAAAGGACAATTAAATATCTTAAAATAACAGTTTAAGAATTACATTTGCATCAGAAATAATTATGAATGAATATTTCTTATAAATATAAATATATACATAATATAAAATTGATAATGGTCAATCAATAAACACACCAAAAAATATCAAAGGTTCATATATACATAAGCACTCTGTTAGTAAACTGTTCATTAGTAACGCAATGATTTTGATGTTAAATCTATCAATCTTCTTACTGATAGCTGTTTTTATTTCTGAAAATATGAAAAGTACGCTAATTAATTTTGTAATAAATTAATCGAGCAAAATGCAATAAATTTATTATTTATTAAATTATAGTGTATCTGAGTATCAATTCAAAATGCGAAATTAAAATGCAATTAGCGTATATACATAAGTAATTATTCTCAATCACTGTTTTGCCGATAAATATTATTTAATAAACACCTTCATATGTTAATTAAACAATTTTGTTCATAGGATACCACTAACTCAATTTGTTAACAATTCATCTTAGAAGTCTAAAAATCTATGTAAATATTGCAATATTAGAAAGTTTAGAATAATTTTGCAGTGGCATTTTCAAAAATTACATTAGAACCTATAATTGAAAGTGTCCTGTTTATGTTAAGTTATTTTATTAATCTAAAAATGCTGCAATAACTATTAAATGTTATTAATCTATCGTAAACATAATATAAGTATTGCGGTTAATTTTATATTTTAGGTAATTTTGAATAAAAAATAGAAAACAAATAAAAAAAGTATATCTAAATATCTATAAAAAATAAGGATTATATAGAAACAAGGGACTTGATCTCAAATCAGTAAAGGTAAATAAAAATGAAGTGGAAAATTGACATACATATATGTACAACGTTTGGATAAAAAACATATCTTTTCTGGGTTCAAAACAGGGTCAAAAATCTTTTATATATACCTCCGGTGGTTTCTTCAGAGTTTGTATCGAATTCACTGATTATAGAAGCATTTTCTCCTACACATTAATTTAAATCAATTATGAGTTATTAAAAATATTGTTAAAAGCTGAAAAAATAATTATGGTTCCATTTAACTTTACATTAATAAAAGCAATGTCATTGGTACATTATTAAAGCTAAACAAATAATATTAAAAGCATATTTGTTTACTGCCGATGATTCTGTAATAAAAAGGCGTTAAAGTAAAAAGCTCTAATGAACAACACAATAAATATTTAATCTTAGTTAAGAATATAATAATATATAAGCCATGAGGTTGGTAGTAATTTATCTTCCTTTACATATGCAAAAATATAAATTTGAATTTAAGCCTATTTATTTAAAAAATTATTATTAAGCCTATTCGATTTATGCATTTAAGATGCATATAATCTACTTATTTTAACGATTAAACCAGCATTATTATTGATAGTATTCGATAAATTCTTTAAGATCGACTATTATTTGCAATATGGAAGATTTGAACCAGAAAGAGTATTAACCAAAACAGAAATTGTATACTTTACTAATATTAATATTATCAAGCTTAATAGCACAAATATCATGATAATGTATAATTATTGGCAAATATATAAAATATCGCTTATTTTGCGCCAAAAAATATAATTAAACGTCTCTTAAATCAAATGATTTCAAATAAATTTCTCAATTATTGGTCATCATTGACTAAACCAAAATAAGGTCATAGTACACGTATGTCGATTAAGCTAATTTGCAAACAGAAACAAACATCAGATATTTATTTTGAGAAATGAAAATTTCTTTTGATATTCTTTATACATAAACGTTATTGCAATACAATGCTACTTTAATTTTTCTTTGTTTCTTACCGATATTTTTGCGGTAGTTGCTCAGAGGTTGGAAAATGTGGGATAATTCCTCCTCCAAATGAGGGTAAGAAGGAGTTATTGATCCGTATCTGAAAAGAAATGTACAGTGTTTATGTAATTAATGGGTTTTGTAAATTCTAGATCCATATGATAATTTATACATTATACTTTTGAGATAAATAAATAAATCCAATTCAAAGTTAATCAGTAAGTAATTGAAATTAACGCTACATCAAACTTATATGCTTGTGGTATCCTTAAAAACCATCATTGCTGTTTTTATGATATTACCAATATCTATACCGGTATTAAAGTATCATGTAAAACCATCTATTCTATTAACTTCTATCTACACTGGTTAAAATAGGTTATGTGAACTATTTCCCAATTATTGAAATAAAGTATTTTTTGCAAATTAGAGAAATAGCTGAGGAATCAACCATAATTGAAAAATCCAAAATCGTCGCAAAAATTTATTTATTTTATTTACATCAATCGAACATATACTATAATATATAGAATTTTATGAAGTCATTTAATCTTATTGAATAAAACGTAAGGTAAGGCATATGTGATCAAAATTTGACCAGCTACTTTTGTTCCTAGTACGAGATTCCTATATATAGAATTAATATAATACATGTTTGCATATAAATAACTGTAGATTATTTTTCAAAGTCTAGCAAAAAATATATAAAAGTAGAGTTGAATATGAATACATATCACAAACTAAATACTTGTTTTATTCTTTCCATCACCACTTTTTTGGTGACGACAAAATCAATTACTGTACTGTACTGTTTTATATAATCTAGAGTTATTTAGATAAATTATTCATTCTCTGAAAATTTAATTATTATTTTCCCATTCTGTGATGATTCCACTTTTATGTTTATTAATTACGAACAAATTCCTGATTATTACTATTAGTCAATAATTACAAATAAATTATAATTTATTAATTACTTACCCTCCAGCGGTACTGAAAAATATCGTTTTCAATGGTCTATGTACGGGAGTGTGTATTCTAGTCAAAAGTGAGTTTGCTTGTGATCGGATTTTTCTTGTTTCATCGTCAAAGTCCTAAAAATAAATTAAAATAAAATTAAATTTAAGTAATGAATATAGTAAAAATTATAGTAAATTAAAATATAGTTAAGGGAGAACTAACTAATATAGCCAAAGGAAAGAACATCCCTAATATAAAGTGCATGAAAATTGGCATAGAGCAAGTAAAGAAGAATTGTAAAGATTATTTTAAGAAATAAAAATATAATTATTACAATGATAATGTAAATTAATTAATAATAAAACATTAAAATTTTATTAATACAAAATAATAAAATATTGAGTTATTTTATGAGATTGATAGATGTGATTGAAACTGTGCTGAAAATTGCAGTGCAATAAAAATGCAGAAATTATATGTAGCCATAAAATCAAATTATATTTACATAATAACAAACTAATTAACAAATTGTTACAATTTTATATTTCATTTTTGAAAGTTAATTAGTGCAGGGATGTCGAGTAAGGTAACATTTCATTCGTTTCATTCAAGATCAATAAATAAGACGATTAGTCAAGAATTTATTAGATTTTATTAATTATTGGGTAAATTAGTTCTATTGAGAATATAAATCACTCAGAACCTAATCGTACCGATACAAACGGCTGTCGGGTTGTGGGGTACAAAGATATTGGTCTCGATACAATAAATTGTTTTTGAAGCACTTCATCATCGGATAATGGCCTCATTGATCTTATCTATATAAATAAATACTTTGGCTAAAATATTTTATTAGTTTCAGAAAAAACTAAATATTTTATTAGAATTTAAAAAATTATAATTAAAAACCGAAAATTATAAACAAAAAATATTATTTCATCTGAATAAATTAGTTGCAAAGTTGTATGACATCACCCACTCTTTTATACTAAAACGAACAAAATTTATTGAATTAACCCAATTAATTTAAGTTAGTATATACAATATTGTTTAATTTAACTATTTTATTTTTGTTCTTCCTGTTATCTTGTTTTTCGTAATTTCGTAATATTTATTATATGATCAAAAAAATGTTATAATTCCACTGGTGTAAGATCAACCATTTTATTAGGGTAGGCTTATAGAAATTCATTGTACTTTATCACTTCAATTACTCATTGTTTTTATAAGACAGCTTGTAATTTATATTAAAAAAAAAGACTTTCAAATAAACTAATTATTTATTCAGATATTATATAATAGTATATTAAAATATTTATGTTTTAAGTAATTAATATTTTTCATGGGATCTGCAGAATAATTAATAATATAATTTATATTTTTGATTAATTTACCTATTTTTTGTAAAGAGATTTATTTAATTAACATAATAACATTAAAGCCGTTTCTTAAACAACATTTATTTTTCCGCAAAATTGTGGTCTTTTCATATTTATAGGGTCAATGTATCATTCTCTTGTTAAGTTTTTGTCAAAGTCTTTAAAATATAATGCACAATATAAATTGAGTTAAGGGTGTCAACATTTACAAGATTTACAAGACAATGAGAAGTTCTTTTGGTATGCATAATAAATTTTAATTAAGCCAAGTTTTTCAAATTAAATGAAGTTATCATCAAAGACAACATTAGGCGTTGACGTCATCAAGGAGCCTCGAAAAATTTCTAATTATTCTAAAATTTGTGTAATTTTTATCATTTTATCATCACTCAAAGTTTCATTTACTCATACATCACTTTGACTACAATTCGGCTTATGCATTATATTTAGTTTTTTCGACTGCCGGAAAAGGCCTTGGAAACCCTAATTTGGCCGAAGCTCATACTTGGTCTATAACCATCATTGTTCTTCTTTAAATTTCTTTAAATAAATAATAATGTATATCGAATTATCATTAAGAAAAATGTAATTTTGATACTATTACTGAAAACAATTAATATATAGTACGGAATTAGAAAAATTATGGGCAACATTATTGAAGCAATTATTTTGATTGAAAAAATCCAATGTGATATTGCACCTCTACCGCGGATACTATCTTTACTTCAATTGACATCATTTGAATTCTGATTCTTTGACTTTTTATAATAATAAAAAATATCGATATTTTCGCTTACCAATGTGCTGCTGCTGTTTAAGAAATCTTCTACTGGTTTGTAGGTGGTGGGCCTGACGCGCCTTTGAATGCGGTCGAACTCGCGGTCCAGGACTGATGGCCTGGTGCGAATAACCACGGACATCGGGGATGGTGTGTACACCGACACCGGTCGTTGAACGATGACACTTCTGTGTACCAGGGGGGCTCCATAGAGAGGCACTGAGTGAACCTAAGAAGATAATAAGAACATAATTTAATATATGATAAACTTATTGTTAGTGAACAGAGTAAGGAAAATATGCAGTATCATTCGATGAGTTTAATTTGGTTTTAGCTCAGTAACTTTTAGGGGAAAGTCACGTAAGGCACCAAGCACCGGACACTCTATTTAACACACATTATTTAAGCGAGTATAAATCTTTTCATTTCAAAATACAAGTGAAAGGAGCATGGGGGGGGCACAAAAATCACGACGCCACCTAAATATCAATGGAAGTAATTTAATTTAGTGCATATTTATGCATTTACATTTGAGGGGTATGCAAAGATAATTAAAAGTTGTACTTGATTGTTATCCGTAAAATAGTAGAATATTATTAGATCTTTTAACCAATTTTAGTAGGTGCCACCAAATAAACGAAAATGTCTGTTTCTTAGAACTGGACACAAAGTCGTCCCTTAGTGCCGGACAGTAAACATATTAATATTTCTTGTGCGAATTTACGTAATTTATTCCAATTATTCAATTTTGTTCTGCATGAGTGCTAACTGTCACTACATACCCCCATTTTTCGTATTTCCTAGTCAAATAATGAAAAGCTTATGGTGAATGCACCAGCTGAGAGCATCGGTGTGGCCCAGCCAAAAGGGTGGATATAGTTACTTTTTTGCAATATTTAAGAGTATTCGTCAAAGACACATGCGCAGACATTCCAGATTGTGGAAATGGCTACAAATGTGATCAATGTAGGTTATTTTGAAATGTCCGGTACTAGGTGCCACTGTTTAAAATCATATTTTTTGATACCAAAGTTTGATTGATAGTATTAATTATTTTTTAGCAAAGATTGCGGTTTTGTTAATTTAGTTTGATTTCTAACTTTGGTATCTAACATAAATCATAATTTAATAAACATTTCGTAAAATATTTTTTGATTTATTTATAAATAACCTTAGGCGTCCGCCACTAGGAGACTTCCCCCTATTTACCTCAACTAATAATAATGAAACGATAGTTATCAATGAATAATGATAAATTGATAACTAACATACATGCCACAAAAATATATAAGATTTGCAGAATTATGTTCCAAATCATCAAAAAATGGTTTCCATTTGAATTTAGGATGAGATCCTAAGATTGTTTCTTTAATATGTAATTAATTAAATAGATAAATTAATCAAATTATCATTTATATCACGTGCAAGCAACATTGTTTTTCAATTCATCTTTAAAAAGTACAGTAAAAATTTAATTAAATTAGGTTACAGATATTCAAATCAATTGAATATGAAAATTTGAAAAAGTATTCTGATCTTAAATAGAAACGTAAGGCAAACAAGAATGATGTATACAATTAAAAAAAAAAAAAATTTTATTTCTATCCAGAGTAATTAAACTTAAATCATGCTTTTCATTTTTCAAGCTGAAAAAAAAACAAAATTATTTTAAATGAAACTTTTTAGTAGTTAGCTATCATTCCCAAGAAAAAAGTAATACTTGGAATACTGAATTTTGCATTTTATGGGTTATTGCGTGAATTAACGATCAATGATTTATTATTGAAATTGCATGTAGTTGCTTAATTATTTAATGTTATTTTCATCAATTGCAAATAATTTTTCTTCATATGCATAAATCAAAAGTTATATAGGTGCTCATTGATATTTGTCTATCAAAATGCAGTAATATTGATAAATTTTGATAAATATACTGAATTTTGTCTCATTTTACAAAACGGAAAATTATTTATTTATTATTAGCATTTACAGCAAAATGAAACATTTTCCGAACTTTAGTAGGTACCAATAGTATCAATTACAAATTGATTGTAAACATGCATGTGCATGTTGATGCATGCCAAACATGAAAGTGCAGTGATTGAATATTAGAAAATCAATTAATTTTGATGATGGATGCTCATATGGAGATAATTAGAGAAAATAATTAGACAGAGATGATTATCAGTGCTTGCAGATCATCATACCGTAGAGTAGGTGAGAGGTAGGTCTGAAGAATAATCTGAAGAATACAATGAAAGTGGTCTCGATACTATTATTCGACTATATGGAGATCCGCCGTAATAAAACGGCACTGAATGCACCTACAGGTAAAATATTCGAATAATCACTTTGTGTTAATCGCAGACTTATTTATTTATTTATAATAATTATTTATTTAAAAATAAATATGCCTGGGCTCCGTAATTAATCATACCAAGATACTGGTATACATGGTTAGTCTAAGATGAAATTAAGCCTAAAAACAAAAAACTCTAATTTTTCAAAAAAGTTTTTTTTTCAAAAATTTCGAATTTCTCAAAATCTCAATTTTATAGTAGTTATATAAAATGAAAAATCAAACAAAATTAACAAAATAACATCTTATAAATACTTAAAAATTATATTAAGGTCTTGTGATCTAAACAACAGTGCTCATAACCTACAAAACTAACAACAGAAGAAAACACTACTTTTGTTATGAATTTTCAAACATTGCCGTTTATCTAGAAGAGACAGAGACGTCGTTGAAATAAAGTTGATGGCTGGTTATACATCTTATTCCCTCTACTTTGAAATATTGATGTCAAATTCTTTAACTTTACTGTTTTTTGTTATATCAATGGTGGTAATTTTGCCTGGGGACCTTTAAGCCCCACTCTATTCTATACGTTAAAATTAATTTTTTTTCTAGAATATAACATTGCAGTCTTGGTTAGTTGAATCAGAAAGAGTTTAAATATATTATTTTGTGTAATTATTAATTAATTATTTATTTATCCAATTACTGTTGATTTATAAAATAATATGATTAGTTTATTAACTTCCCGTAGGAAAAGTTATTGTAATGGGCCGAAAATCGAAAATTAAAATTTTTGCACATCTTCACGTTCTAGAGTTTTCTGAACATTTTGACATACCTCAGACAAAATGAAGGCATTTTTAATTTCACATTAATCTGCGTGTGTACGTTTTCGGACGCACGGATCAACCGATTTGAATGGTTCAAAAAGCATTCGATTTCTATTGATAGGGAGATGTGCCGATTAGTTTTTGGCAAAGGCAAGTCCAGTCGTTACGGAGATACGGACCAAAGAATGCAAAAAATAGAAATCGAGTTTTGGAGAGAACGGAGTATCCGATTTGAATGATTCATAAAATATCCAATTTGTAATGATTGGGAGAAGTGGTGATTAGTTTTTGGCAAAGACAAATCCAGCCATTTAAAAGATACAAAGCTAAATGTACAAAAATGGAAGTTTTTGAGAGAACTAAGCATCCGATTTGAATGATTCAAAAAACTTCTGCTTGTGTTGACAAAACAATTGCTTTTGAAAAAACAAATAATAATTTATATATCGAAAATAATTCAGATTTTAATTTTAATTCCGGCTAAAGATCTAAAGTTCACTTATATACTTTAAGTAAATAAATAATTATAATTTTGTAAATTAGTTTATATAATTCTTATAAATATTAAACAATGTTACAGTATTTATAATAATCTTTTTGAAAACATTTAAAATTCCTCGAACATTCTGTTTCGGTACAAGAAGTTCCAGCAATTTGCCTTAAAGCAAGATACCATACACCACTAGTTTATTTAATTAATTAGCTGTATGTACTAAAGAAAAATGTCTAAAATTATAACTCTTGCATTTAGATATACTATATCGCAAACGAATTAAGATTTATTTTTAACTTTACTGCATTGAACTATTGGAATATAATAACAATAACGTTTACACAACCCAAGTTTTCTTGGGTTTTTATAAATAATAAACGTATCATACTATTACTATTAGGGGAGTAAAAATGCACAACTGTTTTGTCAATTAGCACACCATTTCAAAGCTTTCAAAATCGTGTCGTAAATTCTAAGAACTAGTCTTACACAATTGCTCTCCTTGCCAAAATAATATTCATATGTCGGAATGCTCGTGGTGGTATAAATGAATTATTTTATTCTGACATATAACAACGCGAGCAATTGATATGCATCCAAATATATATCTAGGTGAAAAGACACTAAGATGATTTGTTTTATTACATACTCATATTACATATAAATATTGTATTTAAAACATTTTTAATCGGTGTTGTAGCTTCGGAATGCAAATTCATTTTTAACCAAATATAACTTACTAGAAAAAATACAGTTAACCAACGATCAAATTGATAAACTAAACTTTTCACCATTTCTCTAGTAAAAAATGTAAGACCAAGATGCTTTTTATTTTTTGATCTCCATAATAAAAAAATGTTAATATTTATGCTTATTGATAGAAGATAATTTTAAATAACTTATGTTTAGCAAAATAATTTTACAAAACTTACCCTTGCAATTCCTGGAATTATCCTGATTGGACTCTGTACGGTTCACATTGGTGTCAGGTCATCAGATCATCAAAGACGAAACGGAAAAATAAAATAATATTAGTATAAAATTAAAATCAATATTAAATTTAAATATTAGTTCATTTCTCATTTATAAGCAGAATATCAACCATATCCAAATAAAATGTTCTTTCAAAGCACTGATAAGTAATAAAAAATTTGATTAATTTTTTGATTTGATATATATCAAATAAATTAAATAAATTGAATATCAGATCAACTGATTTATCTTCAACACTACTCTCTTTAAAATACCTGAATTTGTTATAAACATTTAAAAATAATAACATTAGCACTAATTTCATGTATATACAAAAATAATTATAAATTTTAAAAAATATAAATAAAACACTGGCATTAAAGTTTAATATTGCATGTTTATTCATTAAAAAGCACAGCATTACAGGTGCAAAATTTAACACAGATTATAAAAATATGTTTATCAAAATTGAAGAAGACTCATCTATTAGTCCTAACTCTTACAACATCACTATTAGTATCCTTATAATAATTAATTGCAATACCATTACGTATTTTGTTTCAACAAAAATTAAAACAAATTGTAAACTTATATCACAAGAAAATTTGTACAGTATCAAAAATATGCCTAATCTTTGGTTTTCATGGTAATATATCTAGGTGAAAATTAAAAGCAACTTTTAGACAATTTTTAATTGACATTGCTAATTAATTAAATAAATAAAAATGACTTAAAGTTATATTAATAATTAATAATTACACAAAATAGCGTATTGAGTCTTCTTCTGATATAACTTTCCAAGGACTACAATATTACATCCTAGGATATGATAAAAATCAGTGATGATAAAATGGTTGTTTGATCAGGAATCATAGTTTTGTTTTACATTTTCAAGACATTAAGGTGGGTGCTAGAATAGTAATAATAATCCATAGCAGAAAATAAAAATTATACAAATTTCTTTTAGTTCTTCTTATGAGTCTTCAAATAGAAACCAATTTATCAAAACCAAATTTTTCAATTTTCGTGTTTACACACGGTATGAGAAGTGACGGTAAGTGGTTCCTCCAGGAAGACGTCCAGAAGTAGTGGAGCTGTAGCTGGATCTGTAGCTACCTGGTCCATCTCCAGTTCTGGATGAGCGTTCGCTCGTGTAAGAATAGTCAGATCCTGGATAACCGCCTGCACGTCTTGTGCTTTCGGTGGTGGAAGTTGTCGAATAGTTCCTTCCGTAGGGATCTGCAGAAGATCTTTCCTGCTGGCTGCGGTAGGAGTAAGAATATTGCTCTTCCGCTACCCTTGGTCTGGATGGAGTGTCTGTCACCACGTAATGACGGGACGGCGTCTGGTGAACGGGCAATGTGAAACTTGGTATTAGATATTGTCCAGATAGTAAACTTTGTTGCACTTTTGAATGAATAGAACACTTTTGGTTGGTGACACAGTAATAATCACGGAAATTGTATGAGTATAAACCGATTGGTACAAGCTTGGCACATATTATAAACGAGAGAATTTTCTTATAATAAATATCGTTTCAGATTATTTATCTAACGCATGTTGGTATAAATTCTTAAAATTTTTGCGATGTGTTACAAATATCGCATTAGCCGAGGAACGTTTATTTTCTCATATATCCTAAAAATTTATTAGCAGATTAGTGTTTACACAATTTTTATTTTTACATGAGCTGTTACGTCGCATAACAATACTGAAAAAGTTTGAATACGTATATCAACCGACCTTGAAGATGTCAGAGAGAGCCTGAAATCATTTGAATCTATTTTGGGAACATCTACAGGAAACCGTATTTAGAGGACCGCAATTAATAGCACGTTATTCAATTCCAGAAACCCATATCACATTACTTAAGAAATGCAAATAATCAAGAAATTTTGAAGGATGCTGAGATTGATTTAGCATTGCAGTAATATAATCAAAATTAAATGTTATTATTAGTGCGAGGTCACTTTGTCTTGATTTACAACGCTTTTAATTGTTAACTGCAGAAACGTTAGTAAAATCGAAAACAAAACTTCTACAACATAACAAAATATCAAATTACAAGGTACATCATATGGAAATTTTTGTACAACGAGGGTAATAATTAGTAAGTGGGTATACAGTTTAGATACAATGTACAATATAAAAATAAGCTATAATACAGCGCTTATCAAATTATGAACAGTACAAAGACTTGCCAACGGCTTCTTACTCAGAATGATTTCGTCATTAGAAAACATTTTCTGAATACTTTTATTTAACGAAGTTTCTTTGTGTCACCCAAAGTTATATTCATTCGAACTTGCAACGACTTTATAATAGATATTATCAATGCACGATATAAATTAAATTTAATATAAACAATATTTAAAAGTGTTGGTAGTTTAATTTTAAATGTTGCTGTAAATTGTATATAAGTACATGTTTCAATGTGTTGGAAGTTTTAACATATATATTTTACAAAATACAAATAAATGAGAAAAATCACACATAATGAGTTTAATAAAAAGCAAAATTATATTCTAACACTATTATTTAAAACAGCACGAGCACTACCTAATTTACTAAAAAGGCATTACCAACACATCAAAACAATATTTTGATTTCAAAAAAAGCTTCATATGAAAAAATAATTTAAAAATTTCAATTGCAAACATTTTTCTAATATAATGCATTTTATATAATTATAAATAATACTAGCACATTGATAATACAATTATAAATAATATTGTTAATTTATACAACCATCTATATGTCGTGCCAACTACTGCAAAGCTAATTTTATTAGATCATGCAAATTTGGTTTCAACTTATGTCTTAACATAATCTTAAATTTCTTAAAGATTTGAAAGATACCGTATAAAAAAAATTTGTACTAAATCACGGTTTCCATTAGATTTTCCCAAAATACTGCGTCTTTAAAGGTTTTGGCAAATTATGTTTATATTAGATGATTAATGAATAAAATAATCTTATTATTTATGTACTTATTGATCGTCTTAAAATGGATGAAAGAACTATTGATCGTCTTAAAATGGATGAAAAAACTCAGTTGATTCTTTTGTATTTGGTGAGGAATTTGTAAGCGGGATAAAAAACATTGTTCGGAGTAAAGTTGTTAAAATATTGCGATGTGAACAAAAACACTATGGTTTTCACAAAGTACGTGTATTAGTAATACCAAGTACACCACCTACAATACAATATGAATATATAATAGATAAATAAATAATCAAAACAAGCAATGCATTTGTTAACACTACGCTTGTTTCCACACTTTTAACAAGATAATCATCAGAAAGCGTTTGCCTTGAAAATGAATGTTATGCTTGCAAACGCATATTTTGTCAAAATTAACCAGAAAAAGTTATCGAAAGTTATCGTATCGTTCGTTAGGAATATCGATTAATAAAGAATGTATAAAAAACACCACATGACTTCAACAAATTTCTTAACTTTCATTTTTAATCAGTATCTTCTGTGAAAAGTGGTCAACAAAACTTTCCTATCCGCAGAAGGTGTTGTGTGTGAACTGTGGAGACGGGGTAGAAGTCTATCCATGTCATCATTTCTGGTGGTCAATGGACAAATTCCTCCTTGGTTCAGAAAAGCTTCTTGTCTTCTGACGCTTTCCAAAACTTTACGCCTGGTCTGGTCCCTTGGGGATTCGTATTCTCTTATTGGAGCCGATAAAACTCTCTGGCTGGGTTTAATTCCTGCAGAATTGATCCTTCGAACAATGGACTCTTTTTGAACAACTTCTTCTCGGCGAGGTTTTCGCTTGCAAAATGCTGTTATGGGATCTGCTACCAAACTTGGACGGGGGACGAACGGCAATTTGTCCCAAGGAACCGGCTCTGGACGTGCCTGGTTTGTTTTTGAGTGTTTTGTGAATGTTCTTATATAAATTGTAATTTGTTTTTGATAAAAAATGATGGACGATTTGTTAAGAAATGAGATAAAATTTTTGTAGTAATCGTAAATCGTAAAAATGGTTTAAACGACGGAATGGTGCCATGAGCGATTTCATATAAAATCTAATGTCATTTTGTGATAACATTTTACAATATACTAAATAGAGATAAATTTCTGAATGTTTGTTCAAGATATATTTGATTAAAATATATGTCTGAATTATATCTAATGCCAAATATCATAAATATATTGTCGCAAATAGAATTTTCATTCAAATCCAATCGGTCAGTCGTGATTTAAACGCGTGGGGAAAAATGCGCGAAAAATAAATTCTAAATGTTCGTTATATTGAGCGTGCATTTATAGCTTGTGTATAATTTTAGCAACCATCTAAAAATAGTTCACAGAGTGTGCAAAATTGTAATACATGTTTATATTACTACATTTTGAAAATTTAGATACAGTTATGGTTTCTGAATCTTTCTCGTACTTCAAGAGCATATTAATTCAGAACCAATATATAAATGTGAAAACGCCAAGCAAATTCAAATCCAGCTAATTTATAAATCGAGATATATAATTTGAAAACATGATATTTATTTTTGAACACAGATTTCCCACCTGTTCTTAGAACGTCGTGAATCTATGCAAGAATTTATGTTCGCATTTCTAAATATGTTAAAAGGAACTGTTGGCGAATTAGTTCGAAGTGATATTTGATTGAATTTCAAATATTTACGATATTTCTATTTTTATAAACGTAGGAATGCAAGACTCAACAAAACGCCAATAAAAATAAATACCTATTCAATTTTATAATAATAATATTCTTTGATTTATGCAGACGATTTTTTATAATAATAGATACCTAATATAAATATATAACATAAATATTTATATATATTGAATATATAGTTTGGAAAAACTAATGCAAATTAAACTAAAAGATTCTTAGCATAGGTAAATAAGAACAAATTATAAAAACTTAGTGTTAACGATTATAGTTGGCAATGCAGTATAAGATGAATGACGAGATTTTTAATTTAATTCTGTTTATTATAGTAAACATGGTTAT